TTAAGTCGATGAAGTAAATGAAGCGTGGCAGGAAGTTTGCCAAAGACCAAATTCCTCTCAGTTTGGTTCAGCTTTGCTCATGTTGACGTTCAGATTTACTGTCCACACTTGACCCTGAGCTACACTGGCAGTGATTTAAGGCCTCCACAGGTGAGTTCTGTCCATTGCTCCAGGGCTCACTGTACTGCATTGTACTGCACATCCAGGGTGTTTTTATTTGAGCTGCAACAACAATGTGTCAATGTTACACAAGCAAGCTCTCAAATAAATCATTCTATTCCACTTTGTGATGTCATGTGGTAATACAGGAATTGCTTCACTCCATACACCTTCACGAGAATCATTTTGGATAATTTCAGAACTAAAGGTAAAAGGCAGCTGTTACACACAACAAACACAAGAACTCTAGGTATGTTTTTGAGGAGGTGACAACATTATACTTAATTACACTTACTTATGACTTAAAGCTATCAAGAGTCAATTTTGTATAATATAGGATCTTAGTAATGACCACTAGGCTTTTCACACCTTAGGGTGGTTCAGTGGATTTAATTATTAAAAGATATTCCTTACTGTAAGCAATTAGGGTGTGTTAGTTTCAGTGTAGTTTGTTCCTTCATTCAGAAGAAAAAAAGAGAGAACGGAAGTAGCTACTGGGATGAGAGATGAAACGTATTCACTCAGCCATGTTAGAAAGTTGTTATCTCCTTAAAAACATACCTGGAGCTTTGTTTTGTTTCATTCACATGTTTGAATACTAAGACTTTATATTACTGTCTACAGCTACAAAGCTCAAAATGCTCTTTTCCACCTTCTGATGTCATGAAGTGGTAGTTTTCATGTTAACAGCTACATTTTACCCTTTGTTCATCAGAAAAGAGCAATTCCAGGTCTGAAATAATCCAAACGATTCTAGTGAAGATGTATGAAGTTTAGAAACACAGTGGAGCGCCGTATTATTGTGTGACATCACAACATGGAACAGAGTGGTTTCCCTTTCAAAGAACTCAGCCTAAATATGTGGAATTTGTGCTTTAAACATGCGTGAATGAAACAAAATAAAACACCGGGTAAGTTTTTGACAAAGAAACAACGTTAGAACAGATCAGAAAATAGCATGATATGGGCCCTTTAAAACTTTGGTGCAGTTGATAAAATTTCACTTTCTTTCGCACTAAGCACAAACTCCTGCGTGATTCTCAACTTCCTCTATCTTTCTGACATTTTGGAGTGAATTTTTCTTCCTTTGGGCAATGAGCCTGTGTATTTGAACTGTGCGACTGAGCTTACTGCGCTACAACTACTCCATAAACATCGCCATAGCAACGCTCTTCCGGTTTGACTCGTGCTTCTGTAGATTTAATGTAACTATGATGTTTGCTCAAAACATAGAAAAGTTATATCCTGTTGAAAGCAGGGATAAATAAGGATTGCTATTTCTGCTCCAATGTTTAATGCATGCATGAATGTGTTCTTTACTTTGGCATGGTTCTCTTGCCAGATGAGGGCGATATGAAAGACAGTGAAAGTCCATGGGGTGTGTGGGGCAGAGGAGGGCGGACTTGGATTCAAACTTCAGAGAGCCGCTGGCGAAGGTTAAAGTGCTACTTAGGTCACGCCTTGGGGTCATCATATCTCCGACTAAGGCCCCTGGCATCACCTCCTGCTCCACTTCAAACACAGTGGATACATTCCCACAACATGTACCAATAAGCACTAATAATGCAAAGAAATGAAAAGCAAAACAGATGGGCTGCAATAGAGCTGGGATTACAGTGCCATATCCCGGGCTCTGTGCTGCTCTAGCCACTCAAAGGTGAATCCTGCACCAGGGTTTCACACAGAAGGGATACAGGAGATACAAGTTAACTGAGTTGGAACAAGCAGACCTACACTGATCTAAGTCAACAGAAATGAGAAAATAGTAAGAGCAAGAATACTTTTACTGGCACGTTTGCTGATGATGCAGCAATAACTGTACCAATATATGTTGTTAATTTATATATATATATATATATATATATATATATATATATATATATATATATATATATATATATATATATATATTATTTTTTTTTTTATTTATTTATTTTTTTTTACAGTTTGAAGTGGTACAAAGTTTGCTCACACATACCTTACACATTCCTAGCATTTTAATTATTCACAGTGATAAATTTATAAGAACTTTCACAACTCCCAGACACCAGAGCGGAGTTTTGCAGTGAAGTTAAAGTTAACTAGCATGTTAATGGGCACTTCCTGATAATCAAACAATTTAATTTCTTTCTAATTTGATGTAGACAGCATGCAGCAGATTTATTTGACCCAAGTGCTGCTTATACAATATGTCTGTACTGAGGCAAGTCCTTGAATTACTAACTCTGATCACTGTGAGGATTGCTTACAGTAAAAATATTATAAACTAATCAAAAATATAGAACAATGGTCATTATTAAATTATCAGCAAGATAAGATCAGATTGAACTCCTGTATAAAGGAAAGCCAACAGTGTGTTAGTTGTGCCACTTTCTGAGCTGTTGACTCACACATAAGCCAGTCCAATGTTTTCCTCTCACCACAGCCTCGACACACTCTGTCATTTGATTAGGCACAGGCCAACCCCTCCAGCTCACAGACTTTTATGTGTCAGAGACAGGCTAAAAGTTCTCCATAACAATTAACCACACACCATGGAGATTACCCAACACAAACAGCCCCAAACCTCCCCCAACTTACCATCCAGTTCTCACCACCAACCCAATGAGAGAAGCCACAAGGGCCAGGACATCTTGATTATATGAAGCAATGTTCAGAAATTAATATCAGGAAAGATGATGAACATAAACTATGGCTACCGTAATTTCAAATGACAATGTTGAAAGTGATGCTGAGGGTCTCATTGCTGGTCACACACTGAGCACTCATAAGACCACTGGTGAGAATTCCTCTTTAAATTAGCCCCAATAACAAATAAAAGACGCCTATGTTTTTCAAGGGACGGCTAGAGTAGCTAACAGTTGGGAGAGAACACAAATCACAAACGATCAATTGTGTCTCAGGTGGAGAATTTGAGGATTTTGGTTATCTAATGAAAATATTGTCACTAGACTCATTTCCTATGTGGTGCCAGAAGGGCAGAAGAGTAAATGTGTGAACAGTTTAGTGAAGGCACCACTTAACTTCTCTGGGTGAGACAGAGTGTGTGTCTATGGCTTAGGTTACACAGCACTGTTTGGATATCCAGGCCACAGTTACCTCAACCTCTCACAGGCTAGTGCACTGGGAACCCTTGTGCAGGGTGGGAAGAATCTTTTCATTTTTGATAATTAGGGAAAAAATACATTTTTCTATTGGACAGAGGTTGCTCTAGCAGCATATTTTAAATGGTCTTCAATGATGTGTTTGAGGACTGGCTATAAATATGTGGTGGTGATACTTAATACATTATTTATGTAATTATCATAAACACTTAATGAATATCTATTTACAATGCAGAAAGTATCACTTACCAAGAAACACTTAAAATAACATTTTAAGTACCACCAGGCACCAGAGTTAAACCAGGTCTAAAATTGGATTACATCAAGAAATTACCCATGCTAGGAGAACCAAAACATGGATAACATACCACGGGCAGACCATTTCACTGCAGGAGAATGTGCGGTTAGACACAGAGCACTGTGACATTGGCTGCAGTGTGACCTGGTGTTCTCCACACAGACACCTCTCTGTGGCTTCACCTGGTGCTCTGTACAAAGGGACAGCTTCATTGTCATTATCCTGTCCATTTTGTGTAAACACTGCAGCTTGGTCCATGTTTACTGTAATTGGTGCCCCATGTAGTATGTTTACCCAGTCTGCCACCTCTTTCACTGTATAATGCATATAAACCTGTGGCCAGCATGCTCATTGTTGCTACTTTCAGGCTCATTGCTTAAATACAGAGAAATCATGTAAAACATATGAGGCTGTGTCATTTGAGTTGCTTTGAAAGTGACATTTGCATACACTTAAACAGTTGAGACAGACTAAAACTCAGATGACACCACAGCGTGTTCCTTCTTGGGTGCTGGCGTGACGAGTGGAGATGAATGTAAGTGTAACATTGCCAACAAGTCCAACACCTGGCTGTCAGATTGAAGTCGAGATAGCTGACACATATCTATATCTATACAAGACTGTGCAAAAGTCTTACATTTCAAACACAGGCTGTGGGCAAAACATGTGTATAACTGAACTCAAATATATCAATTAAGATCACTGAAAAGGTAAGTCAGAACCACAGTCTAAGTTTTATCTATCCATTTAGCCTCCATCCAAACTTATTTTTATTTTGTATTTAATCTCCCATATTTCTTTTACTATTAGTAACCATGCCTAAACTCATCATGCCATCTAAGTTTAAGATGGCATAGCCTTTGACAATAGAGAAATAGAGAAATGTGCTTATTTACGTCGGAGGTCACATGACAGTTTGAAAGCTTGCTGGTCCACATAGAAGGCTTGTCAAAGCTGTGACAGAGCACCCAGATGGTAGATCCAAGCTGCCGCTGCACAGGCCCTGAGGTGATGGGTGGGGCCAGCCTCTGCTCATGCACTTTTATAGCTATAGCACGTGAACTCTTTGCCTTTGCACTCACAGGTCTCTGTGTCCTCATTCACTTACTGTCACAGAATGACAGCTGAGAGGCTTCTTCAAATCTTCATCTTAAAGACATACTTTACATGATTTGTCAATTTAGATCTGTTTGTAAACAGAAACAGCTCATCTTGTGTAGGTCAGTTCAGTCACTGAGTTGTACATATTCACCTGAGAGACTTATTGGCTAATTGTTATAAAAAAGTAATAGCAGAAGCTACTTGGAGCACAACAGAACTTATTTTATGAGTTTAAGGTGGTTCTTTATTCATAGGGGACATTATATTGAAGGCATGACACCTTTAAGTTAACATATTAATGTAAAGATACAAACCACAAAATGTTCAATGAATGGGGTTTATTTGATGTCATCAGGAGAAATATGTTGTTTACTTTTGTCTAACCAGTCGACTTTGGTCAATTAGCAACTTTTACATTAGTCAGAATGCACATGACAGTGACAACAAAACAGTTTATGGTCTGTACGAAATAAATAGCACATTGCTCATTTACAGCTTGGCTGAAGAGAAAACAAACAAAGGGTTAATCTTCATATTAATGCATACCAATGAGTGGTGATACTCATGTGTTCACTAACTGTTCAACAAAGACAAAATGCTCTCCTTTTAAATAAAGCTTTCAGTTTTAATATGTACCTTCAAGAGCCTGTTATAGTTAAATAAATAGAATGCTTTCCATTTGAACATGCACATCCAATTTGCCTGGGAAAACTATTTACATTTTCACTGATCCTACGTGTCCACCAAATCTGCACTGTTTTTTCCTCTCATACTTACTTACACAAATGTACAGTCACTCTTGCAGACATCATGCTGCAGCTATTCACTATTCACACAATATCTAAACCTACTCGAAGTGATCTGAATGCTAACGGTGAACATGGCCATCCAAGTATGGCCTAAAGACACAACATCTTCACCAGGGGCTTACAAAAAACTTAGTATACAATTGATCATGCACTGTATAAATGATGGTTATTTGGTTTGAGTGTGTCGTCAGTGGCTTCTGCTTACTTGAGTGAACAAAGTGAGACAGATATCCAACCAAATAATGTCATTATTTTCAATAATTTTGAAGCCTTCATCCCCAGGTGTTGTCATGGATCAGTGGTTTCTGTGTCTTGTAAGCTTCCACACATAACCAGGAGCCGTCTTCTTTCTAGTCCTCCAGGCCATCACACATTTAGTTGAGTTAGGCAGTTTTTCTGGTGCTGGTGTCATTTTTTGTTTCAGTTTTTCATGACGCAAAGTAAGAGTTCTGCATGGAGTAGAGGCGGTCAATGGGGTTTCCCACTCGGGCCTGCAGGGAGCTGACATCTGATGACGCCATGAAGCAGTCACTGAGGCTGGTTAAAGACGTGTCTATGTCGTGGAAGGCCGAGTCGTTACCTGTACGATACACACAGGATCAGTTGTAATAACCAATGTTTTAACTACGTTACATTTTAAATTATTTTTCATCAACTCTCAATGTAAATCAGATGAGGTTTTAACTGTTATTCAGCATTTGAATATCACAAAATACCGTATGTATTTATTTATCATTACTTAAGTATTTTGGTGGCTACTTTTAAATTGAATTATACTAAAATAATCCTACTTTACTACAATTTTTGTCTACTTTCCTCACCGAGCTTTATATACAAGTGACTGTATCATTAAAATGTGATCCCAGATACTTATGTTTTAAAAAATTTCCTTCCAACAAAGTAAATAAGTACTTGACTACACCAACACTACACACAATGACTTACAACCTCCTCTTCTAACAACACTGAGTAAAGTTTGCAAGAAAAACAAGTCAATCTTGAAGAACAAATTTATAGCAGTGTTGGGAAATTATAATTACTAATAGTCACCATGTGAAATAGCTGCATGGTGTCATCACAACAGTGAGAAGTGTTTCGGTAGATATCATCAAAGCTTCCTGTTTGCTGCCCTCGCTGGGACAATTGCGGTCTATGATGGGGCATGTAAACTAGGGGCATCCCGCTCAAAGATCTGGTTAATAGCAACTGTTTACGCCTTTCATAAAAGCTCAACATGTTATTTCTCTGGAGGGAATAGTTAACTTTATTACACTCTGGATCTTAATGATAGTGTTGCACAAAATGGGGACAGTGTTTGGAGACATATCTTTTAATGCCTTGCCAATATTGTTGCTTTCCCCAAACCAAAAGAGAGTGATGAGACTGGGGATTTGGGTTCTCACTACCAAGAACAACTAAATGGAGGCAAATTATGAGGAAGCTATGAATACAAGGCAATGGTCCCACAGGGAAAAGTGAAGAACAGTTACATCCTGTGGACCAAAGTTTGATTGACAACATTTTGTTTTTTAATTTTACATTGTGTAACTCAGAAATCAGTTGTGTGCCATTTGATGGATTAGCTCACACATTTTAATGGTGTGGTTCACCATTTAAATCAATCGCTGGAAAACAGTAACATGGGGTGGCTTAGAGCAGAAGGCAATAAATTAGTTCTAAAAAAGTTTCAAGATTTATAAATAATGGCTAAAGAAATTAGAAGAGGGGGGTGGGATTAAATAAATTTTCTTGTTCCCAATTATATTTTGCCAAATTTTTTGTTGTTGTTCTTGTTTCTGTTGTTATGATTGCACTAATGTTATTATGGATAATACTATGTGTCACTGTAAAAGAATGTACATGCATGAACATAAATAAAAACTATTAGTATGTTTTACTAGTAGATTATGTATGTATTTGTATTTAAGGCTAAACACCTGGCCTTTAATCTATTTTGATGCATTCTATTCTCTTTGAAATCACTAGAATTGGTGTATGTCCCAAACGTTCATGCATAAGTGAGTCCTTTGGTTTTCTGATGTGGGAGGAGAAGCTTCTTGTATGTGTCTATGAAAGTCTAAAACCAGGAGGCTGTGGCCAGAACACATGTCCTGCATTGAGGAGCCACGAGGTTGATCAAGGGACAAGCATGTGCTTAGAGCAGGAGTGGAGTGGGTGTTGCTTTAATGAAAGACGGAGAGGGGGGTAGTAGTAGTGACTGGATGCTCACCATATGGGTTCATGTGGTCCCCGGGCATCTGAGGGGGGGTGAGTCCCTGCTGGAAGGGGTCTGTGCTGTAACTGTTCTGGTCCATGGCCACGAGCTGCTGTTGTGGGGGGGCCAGCGGCGTGAAGGAGCTCATCATACCCTCCATGCGGTTGGACATCACCTCTGCAGAACAACACAACAAACATGAGAGTGAGCAAGTGAAACAGCAAATATGGAGGATCATATATTACTATGATTATAATATAGTCTTTTAATATTTATGTTGCATCATAAGGCTCTGTGTCTTAGCTAAATGTGTATTAAAATAGAGGATTAATTTAACAGATTATGGGGTTCTGACAGTCAGATTCATCACCAAATAAAATAAAATATTACATATTGCATATTTAAGACGTTTACAGTGTTAAATGTAAAACTGTATGCTGCATTAGACACTAAAGAGAAAGGACCCCTGTTATAACTCATGTGGCTCCCCTTTTCCCACAATCCCTTGCACAAACACTCTGCTCTGGACAGCCGTCAAAGTTCGAGGACATATTTTTTGTGGCTTCATCCCCAAATCCCTGCCCCCTGAGCTTTCCTGTGCGGTGGTTTGGTCCTATGAAGTCATCATTTTAAACAGCTTGACTTTCAAACCAGTTTGAAACACAAAACACATTTTATTCATTTTACATAAATTGTTAAAATTGAGTCAGATTACATACCTTGTCCAAGTCTTTGCGAGTTTTGCTGTTCTTGCTGTTGCTGCTGTCTTCTCGCCAACTTCTTCATCTGAGACAGAGGAGTCAAAGTTGTGAGGAACTCCCAAAACTAACATGCACTCTTTAATTTAAAAAGGATGCTCCTCACAGTTCACCCTTAAATGAACTTCATAAAACTGCAGCAGAGTGCACTTCATTGTCAAGAATCAAAGCTTTTCACAGATAATAATCAGTAAGAGAGGAGGGTGTAGATGTTAAATGCAACTTTTTTTCTACATTTGTGGTTGGAATGCAGTGATAACTTTAACAAACACAGTGGAGGTGATTTATAGGTGACACTGTGTAAATCCCTGATGGAAAAGAGCTGTTGTGAGCTCCCCAGCAAAGTTCTGCATTGTGCAAGGGTCTTACCTTAGCTCTTTGGTTCTGGAACCAGACCTGAACCACACGGACACTCAGACCGGTCTCTGCTGCCAGCGTCTCTCGAACCTTGAGACAAAATAAGAAATATGTTTTTTAAAAGTCAAAAAAGTGAAAGGATACTGATCTGATGCAAGCTTGTGGTGGGTCTGTTTTATGGTTAAGGCTACAGGCAGTAGTGTTGTGTCAGTTTGTCATTCATTGTAGTCAGTTAACACAGACCAGAAAGCAGAGCCCTACTTCAAAGCTCAGATCTGACGAGAGGGAGTATTTTCAAAGTTCTTTGGGCCATTTTGGTCGGCAGTGTTTGTGAAAATGAATGTTAACACCAAGACCTGCTTTCTAGTCTTAGCAGATCTTTACTGATTTATTTTGTCACAGTAGCTTAATAAATGCAATTAAGCAATTCATTTTTAAAAACATATAACATGGCAAATTGTTTTATTATTTGTTTGCAAGCACTACCACCAAACAACTGTATGTTTAGGAATTAACACATATAACACATGAATAAAACACAGAATAGATCTTTCCATACTATTTTATCTATTATTAGAAACATACCTTTCTGCAGGGTTTGGAAGACACCTCAAAAGAAGCCTTGAACGCACGCCTCTGCTGAGTGGTCAGGATGGTGCGCGGTCTCTTGGGTCTCCGTGGATCTTTCCCATCATCCCCTTTGCCTTGACCTCCAATGCCCTTCTCTGGTTTGATGTCCAGCTCCTCATCGTCACTTTTCTCTGCACAATAAAACTAAGATTTACTGACAGTGCTCTGACAAATCTGTTTTTTCTTCTTTCCCTCTTCACACACACAGAGTATAATCAAAGGAGACATGTGTTTTTCATACGTTGTTATCAATTTATTACAATAGCAGAGGGCCGCACGAAACGATTAGCCTACAGAAGTGAAATATGCACATTTGTCACTGAGCTGGATACTGCATCACTTGTAATTTATGGCTCTCAGCTTTGTCTGATTTACACTAAATCAATCTCTGATAAGGGAACTACACCAAGTGCAGCATGAAAAGGCAGAACAAGCACATAAGGAGAATGATATTTTATTACTTAAATGTTTAAGAAAGACAAGATGGTTCAGGATGGTTATTTTTAAATGGCATCAGCAGGTGTTGCAAGGAAAACAGAATAGTAAAATATTTCATATATATTATGAAATAGATATTATGTTGTATATAAGTTTACTTTTGGACTATGTGTTAGTTCTTTCTATGAGCATCACTTCTCTGCCATGACAAATCATCTTACACTATCCAATAATTTACAAATAGATGTTTTATACTACATGCCATGCCTTCTTATTCATATATTGAAGTTTGGGCCAGGCACAAAGATTATGCAGATATGTGGCTCGATTGGTTTATTACGTTATTTATGTAGCGTTAAAATTTCAATAAATATCCGTTTGACACCACATAACAGGAGATCGTAAATTTAAGTGAGTCAACAAACAACTGTGTTACTCACGTGCTCTGCTGGATTAATGTTTCCAAATGAGAAACAGCACTAAACATGACACTACAACGTCCCCTATCATCTGGTTTTGATGTCTTCACAGGGAAGAACCCATATTAAAAAAAAAATGGGACACTGGCCTCTTCCTTGTAAATATAGCTATGTTAAAGAATGTCTTTCAATTTCTATAGTGAATAATAATGTCATAATGCAGTTTCCCATTTTCAAAATTTAACTTGAACATTTTTGTCTTTTGATAAGGTCATCTTCTGTCTTCCGAGTGACACGACCAAATGGGGAAGAGGCCGAGCAAATATTCCCACAAGTTGACAAAAGTTGACACAGGCACAGATGTATTTGACAAATTCCCTTGCTTTTGTGCATGTTTAAATGTGAGCCAGATGGCGGTGAACGGCGAGGCTTGGCGAGGAGCCGTGTGGTGTGCAGTGTGTGTAGAGAAGGCTACAGGGCGAGGAACACTAGAGCTGATAAGACTGGGGCGCATGCAGGCCCCAAATCCCGCTGTCACTCACTATCATGCACTGCTTTAATTCTTTCCAGCACATGATTCGACCCACGCATGGATGGCCATTAATACAGGTTTGACTTGCTCAGTTTTGTTTCCACTTCCTACTGTATCATAAACCTATACTCTCTGTTTATATTTCCTTAGACCTTAAGGAATCTAATTGGCAATATTGTGCAGTGACATTTTGTTAAGATACAAGACAAGAAAAGTGAGCAGAACATGGTAAGAGAAAATTATGGTCAACAGAAAAAGGAATAATCTAAGCAATGTTATGCAGATATACTAAATAAATATAAATTAGCTATTGATCTTAATTGGAGCAGTTGTGAAACTATGTGTCCTAAATCCTATTAAATGGAAAGGATTGTGTTGTCATTGCATCTTGTATATAAATCAAGGCCCAATCCATCAGTGCCAATGAGTAAACAGAATATTTATCAATATATTCTAAGTGTATTTAATTTAATACATTGTCATTTGAAAGTGACAGATCTATCATATGTATTTCTCCAGGCGTGAGTGAACCCTGTGGCATTTGCACTTTCCGCACGGTGCCCTGCTCTAGCACTGCTGGGTTAGGTCCTTCATGGCGGACTTCTCTGTTGGCTGCGAGTGCTCCTGGCTGGCGTGTACAGAATACAACAGGAGGGTGCCATGTGATGGTCGCACCCCGGTGTGTGCTTGTCATGGAGGTGTGAGAGGGTGCTCACCTGAGTCTGAGTCATCGGGGCTGACGCTGCTGAGAAGGTCCTTCTCTCTCTCATAGTCCACTTTACACAGCAGCTGGCCCTCCTTCAGCACAAACTCATCACCCTTCCTGAGCTGCCGATCACACACGCAGCAGCAGAAACAGTTCAGGTGGTAGACACACTCCAGCGCACGCATCACAAACTCTGTGGGAGCGATCTTCTCCATGCACCCACTGCACTTGGTCGCAAACAACCTACAAGAGAAATAAGAACACAAAGTGAGCATCACTGACTTTAAAGATTTTTTTCTTTTCTTTCTTTTCAAATTGAGTTTGATTCTACTTTCCAGACCTTGCTGCATGTGAAGGTGTCAGAAAATGTTTTACAACCAAAAAACTACAAATAACCACACTCATCTTATTGACCCATGAAGTTTATTTTTCCAAAAAAACGTGAAAAATTACTTGAGCACTTTTGTTATGAAGCTAATGATAAACAATATTTCATGTAATCATATTTTCCATCTTATTTCTGCTACTTAGAGGATCCTGTTTGTTGCAGATATACATAAAAACAATTCCCTGGAAGGACATTTCAGTTGTACTTTTGTAAAGAATGCATTTATCAGTTTGTCTTTTACTAAGGCAAAGCACATGCATTCAGCACTGGGTTTGCTTGATAGTCAAAATTGGAGGTCGCAACTATAGGCCTTTGGAGGATGCACCTGGACAGTGGCATAGCACAAACAATCATAAAAATTATATAGTTAATAGGGAAACCAATTAAATAGTTATATAGATTTTTTGACAACACTTCCCAATGAGTGTGGCTTTGCTCTTATGAGACTGCAGTTGACGTGCTGGTCCAGTGGGCATTTTTGGCAGAAGCTCATCTATTGGGTGGACCCTGGCTCGTGTCTGTCCCGGTGAGCTCAGTCACGGGTGCCCCCTCCCCCTCAATCACATTCAACAGGAGTCGACTGCACACTGCACCACCAGCAGGCCTGCTCCTTTCACATCCATAAGTCTTTATCTATGCAAGCGGCCATATCTGAGCCCGTGATTCATTGCCAACTGCCAGGCTGCCCTGCGGTCGCTTCATATCTCATCTCAGCGTTTGATATTACTCCGCAATGACCGCCTCCATCACACCTCCATCTTCTTTTATATCCTTTCGGGAAGATGTTTGCATTGTTTTATTGGCGACTGAGAGGCATTTAATTGTGTTGTTCGGAAGACGCCACATTAAGTGCAGCAAGAAGGCAAGGGAGTGCGGTTAGATCTTGTCCGGCCGTAAAGCCCAGGATTTATTAGTGGACTCTTTTGTTTGCCCTGGTGTGTAAGACAGCTGGCAGCCGCCTATCTATTTGTGGTGGACATCTTTTTCATTGTCGAGGGGAGCAATTGACATCACGAGAAGCAGGATTCGGGACAGGGCTGAGCGATAGTGATGAATATAATGTGTAAATATGAGAGAGGCGGAGACCAGAGGATGTTTTTTGTTATGCTAATGTAGTTATAGGTGCTGATAGAGTAGTGATATGGTCTGAGCAGCTGTATGCACATTCAAAAGCACATTGTGTGGTTGTCATCTATACAGAGCTGTGAATTAATAGCCAGACCAATAATCAACAATGAGAAATATTAGGGAGCCTTAATTACATCATAGCGTTTGAAAGGGCTTTTTTGTATATCAAAAGCTAATGTTGAAACCGCAGAAGATCTCCAATTACAGATGCCAATTGCAGAAAAAGGGGAGGTATATTTGTCTTTTTATCTTTCATTTATTACAACAGATTAAAAAGATTATTATTTCACAGTGGAAAAAACCTCAAGGGTTATCCCACACAAAAACACTGCCACTTTCAGTCATCTGCCAAAACAGATCTGATGTCCAAATAAACTACATTTTGATCACTTTATAAAGACATTTAAAAGTGACACAAAATAATCTTAGACACTTAACGTAAAATTACTGTCAATATTATAAATGCTACCTCTATTATCTTATTCAGAAGCATTATCTTATTACATGCAGGGATCAGTACAAAGTGGTGATGAATCTGTCAAGACAAGTTCTCAGCTCCAACTCTAATGTTTAGCTAATGATTGCCGGCTTAGGCTCTTGCTCGTGGGTGCAAAAGGTGGCGGAAATGACTTGTTAGCTAGATTTTGATACGTCCATGGCCTGGGCATTCACCTATAACATCCCGCTAAAACCTCCTCATCTAGATGAAAACATTCTCATTCAAGCCCCTCTTTCCTTTCTTCTCACTGAGTCTAATCTTGTAAGCCATTATTTTTCTATTTCCCCTCTCTGTCACTTTGCATTATTTTTGCTGCTGTAATTCCTATTGGTCTCTTCTGGAATCTTCCTGTCCTGCTTTTGTCCGGGACCCTAATCCGGACTTTCGGCCTGTTTTCAGTCTCCAGTCTCCATTCTCAGCGGGACTCAGATGGAATAGCCATGCATGACGCCTCCTCTATGGCAACCACACCTCCACAGGAAGGCAACGGCGACTTTTCGGATGGGCAGAGAGGGCCTTTGAGAAGCTGGCAGCAGAAGTAAATCCTTCTCTAGGGAACAAGGGGAATTAGCAGGGAGCAGTGGACTAGGGATTTAACCCTACCCCTGTGCTTTGAAAGGGCTCGGTCGGTCCCACTCCTGCGGCTAGTCACAATCAAACAGGGGAGGAGCGGGGAGGCGGCAGCAGGGACAGAGAACACAAACTCCCTGAATGACACAAGCAGTGGATTGTGGAGGAGCCTAATCCCACTTTAATACCTTTCCAAGTTCAGCTGCTAAAGAATGCTCTCTAAAACAACACCACTGTGTGAGCAGTGGAGGCAGACCGGAGGGAGGCTTGCCATTCAACCTCTCGACATTACCTGATTAGTGGTTAGAGGAGCAGAGGAGCAGAGCAGCGGGCCACTGGGCCAGTGTATACAGGGAAAATGGAATGCATTGTTTTAAAATAATTTAGCACCATCTTTAAGGCTCATGTTATTCTATACGATATCAAATATGTCATGAACCTGTTCTGTCAATGTTTTGATGACCAAGAGGGACAGTGAAAGTTAGATTGTTGTGCTTAAAGGGTCAATCTATATACAACAAAATCCTGCAGGGACTTTATGAGGACTTTAAAATGGTTATGGTGATCATCAACCATGTCCTGTTTCTTCTTTATCCCACTGACCTTCTCCGAGTCCCTCTAAAATCCACTTTGCTTGGACTCGCGGGTGCCTTGGTAACATGACTCCCTGTCGCAGAGCTAGCACAACATAGAAGGGACCACCAGAGTACAGCCACATCCCTGCACTCTCTCTCTCCCTCTGCCCTCCCACACCTGAGTGCATGGATGCTCGGAAGGACCCTACTGTGCAGATCAATGGCTGCATCTAACTCACAGAAATGTCAATATTTACACTGGCCTCCCAGAACTGGACACAAACCATAAGGGAGAGTCTGTGTCAGCAGATCCTCCAGTGTCCAGCCAGTGTCCAGCCATGTTTATTCTTGCAGACACTAAATGCAACATTCTTTACTATATGCAAACTATATTACAAAGCAACAGGTTTTGGTTGTACAAGTCAATACTGTGCAGTAATTCTAGTTTTTAATTTCAGAATCACCAACATATATTGCAATATAAATTGGCTGAAGTTTCTAATGACTTTGTGTACGAATTGTACTTTACAAATAAACTTGCGTTGACTTGCCTTTTATGTCAGATGTCCTGTCCAATGCAGGAATCCTTCTCCATTTATGCTGGCTTGGAACAGGCACAGAGTGTACAGTTCATGGGAGGTGACCATATTTCAGTGTATCGGCATTATCAAAGTATTTGTTTATGTTGTCTTTTATTTAACTCTGTAGGCAATATACTAAAGCTAATGCTAAAAATATTGGTTGATCTTTTCCAGTTCACATGGTTGTATTTGTATCAGACTTGGGAGTTTAACCAACCAGAGGCCGTGAGAAAGAGCAAAAGTTATTTTGTGTTGTACTGAAAACCCGAACAGTGAAAACTGGCCTCTCAGGCACCCATATTTGCCTTTTCCATGCACTTTTAAGAGCTATATGTGCTCCCTTTGAACAGATTAGTGCTAACTTTAAGTGTGACAACATCTTAAGTTCGCACCACATGTTGTCAATGATTCCTCCGCTCCAACCATTACATCTAATGCTTCTGCCGCAGTGATAAGCATCAGGAGGACTGGGCTGGGATAAAAGAAGAGAAAGGGGAGGGGCCAATATGGAGATGCTTATGAAGGATGATAATCAGGTTACATTTACAGACATTTGCAACTGTCTCACCTATACTCCCTTCTGCTGCTGCACACTACAAGAAATAACATAACAATTTTGCATTAGAATAGTTAGGGCTATTATGTTAGGGCATCTCTTCAAAGACACAAGGATTATTCAGGCAGCAGCTGTAAGCCATTACTTTGAAGATGGTCGATGTTTGGGCAAGAAAACTGTGACCGTGCCGATCATCAGAGGTGAGGCATGAGGTCACACACAGACCTCTTCTGGACAAAGGCCCTGAGGAGCGACTGGTCAAGCGAGCCGGCCGTGGGGGCTAATACTTCCTGCTCTACACACATCTATTCTGTGCAGTGCAGTGGTGGATAGGCTGGTGTCTTTGTGGGTATTCTTAAGGCTAGATTACACATTCGTGAAAAGTGATGTCATTTCAAGAACATTTGTCTAAACATGAGCACGAATCAAGTCTCGGTAATATTCCAAGCTCTTAAATGTTTGGTGTGAAAATGACTAATGGTGGTGCAGGTTGCATTGTTGTTGACAAAAGGTCATTCTAGTACTTTTAAAAATAAATTATATATCTATACATAAACTATTATATTTAATACATAACCTATTACATTTATTTAGTTATTTCTTCATGAATTATTTTCTTTTTCTTTTGGAATAATCAGCAAAATATAATCTAGTTTAAGTTTTTTTTTCCCTTCTGCATTGGGCATCTCTTACTTGTCATCATTTATTAGTATTACAAATGCACATATTACGATTCAACTTTAGTGGACTGTTTGAAGATTACATTAAATTACTGCACAAAATTTTAACTAAAAGACACATGACTAAAACTCAAATGTAACCCCTCCCCCATAAAAGGTGCTACCCCTGCTGTGCCTCCTGCCCCTGATTTCAGGTGGGATCTTGTGCTGTTACTCTTCTGGACACACAACAAACAGAGCTGTCTGACTCAAGCAGAGGAGCCTGT